CTCTCAACAGGCTTTATCATTATTAATGTTAATTTGATCACCTAGTCATTTTTATCAAATTATCACACAGTGTGAAATTATTATTATTTTTCCTTTTCCCCATAGAATGTTTCAGAACAAAGTCACTAACACAACATGCATTTGAGCAGTGGGGAGTCATGGGCCAAGCAAGATGGTTCACGCCTGTAATCCCAGCATTGTGAGAGGCTGAGGCAGGTGGATCACCTGAGGTCAGGAGTTCGAGACCAGCCTGGCCAACATGGCGAAACCTCTAAAGATACAAAAATTAGCTAGGCCCAGTGCATGTGCCTGTACTCCCAGCTACTTGGGAGGTTGAGGCAGGAGAATCACTTGAACCTGGAAGGCAGAGGTTGAGGTGAGCTGAGATCACGCCACTGCACTCCAGCCTGGGCAACAGAGCGAGACTCCAGACTCCATCTCAAAAAAAATAAGAGTGGGGATTCATGATCCACCTTCTTATAGGCAGAATGTATACAAATTTATTTGAACCCTCAACCATAAACGTGTCTATTCTATTACATATTTATTCATTTATACATAAATTATATAATCATCTAAACACGGATATTTTATACTTTACATATGCTAATTTATTTGATTGTTCAAATTGTTGCATGGTTGGGTATTGGAAGGTTTTTTAGTTGTCCGTGGTATAGTTTTGAAATACCCACATAATTAAGGTTCAGTGTTGTATGGTTGGTTGGTTTTGTTGTTGTTCAGCATTTTCTTTTCTTTAACCACTACTAGGTGCTCCAGGCTAACTCTGTATTTAATTGTGCTCCAGGCTAACTGTGTAATTCTGTAATTTCTGCTAATGTTACCAATACCATATGATCTAATCCAGCAACACATGAATGATGTGTGTAGTCTCTTACTCTCCCTGTGAAGAAGTTGATGCTAGTCTCTTAATCATACTGCCTGAACATACATGCACAGTGGTTTCAGAACAGGTAACTTATACCCCAATGGGAAACAATTTTACCAAGTAAAGTACAGCACTTAGGTATAAATACTTAGGCTTTTAGCCTCGGCATGTCCACTTATTACCCAAGTTACTTAGACCCATTGCTTTCCCCCACTTTCTTTAGTGAGGTTATTCCATAAATTCATTACATAATTATATTACTTTTGGGGATATTCCTCCTTGGAAACCCTTTACCTACTAAGTAAGGTTTTAAATTTGCATAATTTAGTACACTCTTTGTGTTATAAACTTCTTCAGGATTCAGACAACATTATTATGTATCCACCAATACAGTATCAGAGAGAGTGATTTCACTGCCCCAAAGAAACCTCCTGTATTTCACTGATTCCACCTTTCTCTCTCGCAAGCCCCCCCTTACCACCAGACTCTTTGCTATCACTATACTTTTTTCCTTTTCTAGAGAGTCATATAGGTAGAATTACACAGTATTTTGCCTTTTCCAACTTGTATTTTTTCACATAGCAATATACCTTTTAGATTTTTGAAGTATATATCATGTTTTTTAGACTTCGCATCCTCTATTGTTGCAGGACAGGTGAGCCCCAAATTTGGGGCTTCAACTGGCAGGGTTCTTGGCTTTGCCCAGGAAAGTATTTACAGGCAAGTCAGTGGTGATAGATGGCAGTCTTTTATTGAACAGTACTGCTCCTTTAACAGCAGGGCTAACTCATAGGCGTTGCATCAGTTGGTAACCTATGGGCTCTTATCAACTATCCTTACACTAATGTAAAACTACTTTCAATTACATGGAAGTTGAGGGGTGGACCAATGAAACTTAATGGGCAGGTGATTCAGAACTTTCCAGGACAGGAGCAGTAACTTCTGGGTTGTTGCCATGGAAAGAGGTGGTAAATTCCTGGTTGTTGGCATGGAATTTGTAAACAGTCATGCGCTGGAGGGAATGTCTCATGCCGGTGAGCAGTGAGGACAACCAGGGATCCCTTCGTCTTCTTTTGCCGGTTTCTTCACTAGATGCTGTCTGGACCAGATCTCATTTTGATCAGCAGGATTGTGACTAGGAAACAACTTGCCGGTCTCCTGCCTCATAATGGCAGAAGGCATTGAGTGTCTCTTCGTGTGATTCGGATGTGCCTGTAGCTTTTATGGAGAATTGGGTATTTGAATAATTTCCATTTTTGATTGAGATATATGCCTTTTTATTTTTGAGCTCTTAAGAAGTTGCCGTATATTATTAACAATAGACCATTATCACCTATAAAACTTGCAAATACTTGCTTTTTAATTTAACTTAAGTTTCAGGGTACATGTGCACATTTGTTACTTAGGTAAACTTGTGTCATGGTGGTTTGTTGTAGATTATTTCATCACCAATGTACTAAAGCCTAGTACCCATTAGTTATCTTTTCTGATCCTCTGTCGCCTCCCACCCTCTGATAAACCTCAGTGTGTGTTGTTCCCCACTTGTGTTTTTATGTTCTTGTCATTTACCTCCCACTTATAAGGGAAAAACTTGGTATTTGGTTTTCTGTTCCTGCATTAGTTTGCTAAGGATAGTAGCCTCCAGCTCCATCCGTTTTCGTGTAAAAGACATGATACTTTTTATGGCTGCATAGTATTCCGTGGTGTGTATGTTCCACATTTTCTTTATGCAGTCCACCATTGATGGGCATTTAGGTTGATTCCACATTCTTGCTATTGTGAATAGTGCTGCAATGAACCTATGCATGCGTGTGTCTTCTTCACAGGACACTTTTTATTTCTTTGGGTATATGCTCAGTAATGGGATTGCTGGGTTAAATGATATTTCTGTTTTTAGGTCTTCTTGTAGTCTCCACACTGCCTTCCACAATGGTTGAACTAATTTAGACGTCCACTAACGGTGTGTAAGTAATTCCTTTGTTCCACAACCCTGCCAGTATCTATTTCTCGACTATTTAATAATAGCCATTCTGACTGGTGTTAGATGGTATCACATTGTGATTTTTAATTGCATTTCTTTCAGGATCGGTGAGGTTGAGCTTTTCTTCATATGATTGTTAGCCACATATATATATATCTTTTGTTGAAAGTGTCTGTTCATGTCCTTTGCCCTCTTTTTTATGGAGTTGGTTTTTTTTTCTTGAACATTTGTTTAAGTTCCTTATAGATGCTGCATATTAGACTTCGGTCATATGCATAGGTTGCAAAACTTTTCTCCCATTCTGTAGGTTGTCTGTTCATTCTGTAGATAGCTTTCTTTTGCTGTGCAGGAGCCCTTAAGTTTAATTAGGTTTCATTTGCCAATGTTTGCTTTTGTTTGCAAATATTTGCTCCCATTCTTTGGGTGTCTTTATTTTTGTTGGTGCAGTGTGAATCACAAAAGTTTCACATTCTAATGAGGTTTAATATGCCTGATTTTTCTTCTTCCCTTTTGCTTTCGGCATCATATCTTAGAAAAGATTGTTTAACCTAAGACCACGAAGATGTATTCCTGTGTTATTTTCTACATTTGGGCCTGTTTAGCTATTATATATAGATATATGATCCTTTTGAGTCACTTACATTTTCAGTGTGAGGCAGGAGTTCGACTTGCATGGAATATGCACTTGCTTAGAAATATTTTATTAAAAATATTTATCCATATATAATTTATTTGGTGACATTATAAAATTATTTCACTATAAATGTATGTATTCATTTTTGAGCATTATATTCTATTACATTGATCAACATCTATATTCTTATACTAGCACCATAAATCTTGATTACTATTACTTTGCAGTGAGTTTTGAAGTCAGGAAGTATGTATCTCCCACGCCAACCTTTTTTCTTCTTTCTCAAAATAATTTAGGCTACTCTGGTCTATTGCATTATATATGAACTTTCGATAAGCTTTGTGAATTTAGAGGAAGGAAGTGTCACCTGGGATTTTGATAGAGGTTGCATTAAATCTATAGATCCATTTGGAGAATATTGCCAGCCTAACAACATTAACATTTATAAGCAATGAATAGTCAAATTTTTTCCATTTTTTTCAAAATGTTTTCTATAGTTTTTGTGTATATATCTTATACTTAATTTGATAAACTTATTTTTGATGTCATCTCAAATGGAACATTCTGAGATTTTGTTTTGATTAGTAATTGCTAGCATATAGAAATTCAGAGGATTTTATATCTTCACCTTGTATACTGCAAGTTTGTTGAACTCATTTCTAAATTCTAAACATATTTGATTAGAGTCCTTTAGAAGTTTTATACATAAAATCACGTCATATGCCAACAGACAGAGTTTGACTTCCTTTCCATCCTGGAAGCCTTATATTTATTTTTCTAGACTAACTGCCATGTCTGTATCCTCTAGTACAATGTTGAAAACAAGTGTCAAGAGTGGAAATCCGTGTCTTGTTTCTAATCTTGGAGAAATTAGTGAATGTTTCAGATTACTTATGATGATACAGTAGTTTTTCATGGATCCCCTTTAAAAGGGAGACAGTGCCCTTAACTGCCTCATTTGCTGCATATTTTTCTCATAGGGAGTTGGAGAATTCTCAATTGCCTATGCATCTTCTGAGATGATTGTGTGGATTTTGTTCTTTAGTATATGAATACAGTGCATAGCACTAGTTGTATGTTGAACCAAATTTTGATTTTCCTGAGGTAAATACCCTTGATATAGTATACAATACTTTTTACATGTTTCTGGTTTGTTTTACTAAAATTTCCTTGATGATTTTTGCCCCTGTATTCATAAGGTATATTGTTCTTCATTTTCCCTATTTGAAATGTCTTTGTCTGGCTGTGGTATCAGGGTAAATTAACTCAGTATACAATGGGAAATCATGTTTTCTCCACTTTTTTGGAATAATTTGTAATAAATTAGTATTAATATTTTTAAATGATTACAATAATTCACTGAAGAATTCTTCTTGTTGCGGTCAGAGAGGTTAATCCTAAGAATAGTTACATGAAGTTGGAAGGAGACCCTTCCCCAGCTGAGCCTTAGCCTGGGCCATCACCTACATCTGGACTGAAGACCCAGAGAAACTGTGAGTAATATGTGTGTGGTTTTGAACCACTAAGATTTATAGTAGTCTGTTATGCACCAAGTCTTAAGTAATATACCTGACAGTAATTGCAATGTGGTATTCTAGATTAGGTCTTGGAACAGATAAATGTATCATTATTAGAAATTCTGGTAAAATATGAAGGAAGTCTGTAGATCAGTTAATAGTTTTGAAACATAGTGAAATTCTTAGTTTTCATGAATATACTATAGTTGTAATAGTAACATTTTACTTAGCTGAAGGGTATATGAAACTGTATGTTCTACCTGTGTATCTTTTTGTAAATCTGCAATTATTTCAAAATAAATTTGCTTTCTAAAATTATTATATCTTTAAAAAGAAAACAAAGACATAAGCAAAAATCTGTGTCTTCCAGAGATGAGTGGGTACATAGGAAGAGAATAGAAAATGAGCATTTTTTATCTAGTCGCCTTTCCAAACCCAGGTGCACCTGCTTCGGGAAGGCACCATCAAGCTCTACGGACTGTCATCCTTTTTCTCCTTCTCTGTTACCCAGTCACCAGTTGGAATGTCAGCAACCACTTATTCAGAAAAAGCTGCGTTTCCTTCACATATCCAGAAAGCCCCATGTGCAGACATCATTGAGCAGTGTATATTCAGGATCCCATTGAAGCATTTTTGGGAGATATGACTCAGATATTAGAAGCTAAGAATTAGAAATTTCAGTGACAGGGAACATAAATCATATTTCTGCGTTCAGGATAGTGTTTTCTTGGTACAGGGATTTCTTCTTCAAGTAATCAAAAGACAACTGTACCTTCAAACCTTTCAGAAAAATATGTCCTAATTTAGTTCTTTTCATTCTACAGACTCCATCAGGAATTGTTTGGGACCATGCATTCTGTTGCCCACTGCCAACCCGAAAGCCACCAAGGTAGCAGGTAAGCAGAGTACAACAAACGTTTCTTACAAATGGGTTTAGGCCAGACCCTACTTACAGAGACCTGGATATGAATCTTTTACACAACAGGTTTTTTGCAGTTGGATGTAAGTGAGTGGAGATAGCAGATGACAAAGTGCTGAGCAGCGAGTCCCCAGACACACTCTAACTGCATGGAAGATGTGATTTCCCACAATACCTTAAACCAACAGTTCCTTAGAGGCTGGCCTGGACATCACAATTCTAAAAGAGATGCCATTTAAAAGAAACCAAATTCTAGACCAGATCATGAGGCAAATACCCAACACTTGGACTCCACACTCTAACCTGATTAGAAGTTGGAGTTCAGTGGAAGAATGTCTTGGATATTTGAGAACATGACACTATGTGTATTTAATTTAGCCTTGCTGGAATTTAAAACTGTAGGGGAAAATTCAGTCAACCTCCTAAATTCTGTGAGTTTTTGTTTTTGTATGTGAGTTTCTGCATACACATAAACAAACTCCCATCGTTTAGGAGGTTGACTGAATTTTGGGTATACAGAAATTCATACTTTATGGTTTCTTCTTCTGTCAGTGTATTCCTGAGGGAACACCAAAACCAGTCCCCAAATCCAAGTACTCAAATTAGGGCTGACCAGAGTAACAAGGGGACGGATTAAAACATTTTATAAAGACCATTATGCATCTACGTCTGCAGTGACTAATTATAAAGTGATTTCTGTGATCTCCAGCCATATGGTTAAAACGGCAAATGGGAATGAAGAAAAAGAGTTACATAAATATTATAGCTGAAAAAATGGAGTTTATAATGAAGCTTACAAGGATCATTGGTCATATTCCTAAGACTGCAGTGGAATGTTTCAAGGTACAGCTTTTTCTAGGTCTTTAGAAAGCTATTACTCCAGTGAATTTTTCAGGTAACTCTTTATAATTGCTATCTTCTTCCTCAGTGGATTTCTTAAACCATAGTTCGTAAAACTACATTTCCATGCATAACATAAGAATTCTAGTGCTCCACTAGTAACTCCAATGTGTCTAATAGCTACGTAGACTGTAAATGCACTTGGTGAACTTATGTGATAATATTTAAGCATATTCCTTCGATAACAGATAAGAATACAGTTGATGAGCCCCCTTAATCTAACACTGAGAAATTGGCAGTCACAGAGGACAGTGTATTCCACTCATCGTAGAGGGCACATTTTCACGTTTATGAAACACAGGTGCACCTTAAATTTGACAGTGTTAAAACACTATTGACGAGAAGGCAACCATAATGTTATTGTCCTCATTTACATATACATGAGCTTGGTCTATAAACCTTCCATTGACATTTTCAGGTCATATCATTAACATCATATCTTGCATAGGAGGTTTCAGAAGGTTGGAAAGATAAGCTCACAGGAGCAACATAGGAATCTCAAAAGAAGTGCAGCATCACCAAGCTTCAGAGTAGCACAGGTCATAATAATATGGGGAAAATTATGGGCAAGATGAATTGACGAGTGATTCAGGAGAGTTAAATCTGAATGAGAGAAAATTTAGGAAAACCTTTGTCAATGTGTTTTTCTTGTATGTTCCATCCCATGTAATTATAGGAATGACACAAGACAAATATCCACATGTATGCACATTGAAAATAGTTTTTCCAGTAATTATAATGTATTTATATTATTCCTATGTGATTTATTTATAAGTGATAAAAGTATTAGTTTGTTCATTTGTTAGTGGTTTTGTTCTTCCATTCTGGTGTATAGAGTAATGACATGTTACAATTGACACAAAAGATGTATCTCATAATTTATTAGAAAATTAATTTTTAGGGGTTAATATAGGCTTGATAATATACTGCATGCTTTCTATGTTATCATTTCCTACAGTGCACACTGACATCTCAAGAAGTGAGCACGTTTTTCACTCCTGTGCTCCATTTTGGAGTCTGAGCTGACTTTCTGCGGGAAAGGTATAAAGGACCCTTGAGTTTGATACTGTCTGCCCCAGAGTCTTTGCTCACTTCGACTGTGTAGAATGTGTCTTGTCTGACATGCTAAATAATTTTCAGGTCTAGTTAGACAGCTCACCCTACCCTGTGACATGAAGATATTTCCCTAAATTGTGTTCTATTATTTTTATATTCAAGCCTATGAACCAACTGGAATTGATTTTGTGTGTATGTGAGGTCAAAGGTCAGATCATGGTTGTTCCCTGTGGATATTCAATTTCCTGGAACATTTTATTAAAAACTGATCTCTCCCCCATGCATCAATGTATAAATTAATTTTTATATATCTATATGTCTGCTTTCTAGCTCTGTTTTTATTTTTTAAGTTACTGGTTGTTTCTTCTATCTTTGTGCAAATTTCACAGTCTTATTATTATCATTATTATTATCTTTTTTTTTTTCATACAGAGTTTCACTCTGTCTCTAGAGTCTCCAGCCCGGGCTGGAGTGCTATGGCGCAATCATGGATCACTGCAACTTCCGCCTCCTGGGTTCAAGCGATTCTTGTGCCTCAGCCTCCCGAGTGACTGGGATTATAGGTGTGTGGCACTACGCCTGGCTAATTATTTTGTATTTTTAGTAGAGATGGAGTTTCACCATATTGGCTAGGCTGGTCTCGAACTCCTGACCTCAGGTGATCTGCCCACCTTGGCCTCCCAAAGTGCTGTGATTAAAAGTGTGAGTCACCACATCCAACTTGCACTGTCTAATATTAAGAGAATCTATTTAGCACAATACTTTTCTCTCCAGAGATTGTTTTGTATTTTTTCCTTTTTAAGAGAGAGAGAGGATTTTGTCCTGTTGTCCAGCTAGGGTACAGTGGCTTAATTGTAGAGCAGATTCTGTGTTTGAACTACTGGGATCAAATGATCCTCCCCTCTCAGCCTCCTGAATAGCTAGGACTACAGGCACAAGCCACCATGCCTGGTTAATTAGGTTTTTTTTTTTTTTTTTTTTTTTGGTAGAGACCAGGTCTTCCTATGTTTCCCATGCTAGTGTAGAACTGTTAGCCACAAGGAATCCTCCCTGCTTTGTCTCCCAGAGTGCTAAGATTAGAGGCGTAAGCCACTGTGCCTGGCCCAGAGCCGCCTCTTTTAATGACGGAGCTTCTCCATAATGAAGTAGAAAATGTAACAACCTGCATGCCTTGCACCTACACCAGTACTTTCAGCTGTACCTTCAATAAAGCTGTAGGTTTAGAACTTTAAAAAAAAAAGTTAATGTTTTTTTGAGACAGGATCTCGCTCTTACACCTGGGCTGGAGTGCAGTGGCAAGATCTTGGCTCACTGGAGCCTCGAGTTCGGGGCTCAAGCAGTCCTCCCACCTCACTTTCCCCAGTAGCTAGGACCACAGGTGCACAACTCTTCCCAGTTAAATTTTTTTTTTCTATTTTTTTGTAGAGATGGGGTTTCATCTTGTTGCCCAGGCTGATCTCGAGCTCCCGAGTTCAAGCAATCCGCCCACCTCAGCCTCCTGAGGTGCTGGGATTACAAGCATGAGCCACCGCACCTGGCTGGTTTAGAACTTAAATTGTTGCTGTAAACTCTTGAATCCCTTAATATCCTTGTGAATCTTAGACAATCCCCCAACACCACTCCCCACTTTATGTATAAATACTTTCAACAACAGCCAGTAGTGTTGAAAACCTTGAGATGCAGCCATAGTAACCTCCTGCACTGGTGTAGGCGACTCTGTGACAGGTTCCTTCTCCTCCAGACCTTGCCCACCAAAGTCAGAGCCACATGGGAGCCTCTGAGCTCAGAGCCACTGTATGGGGTTTCCATGTGCAAGGGCAGCAGCTTCCTGCCCTTTCTGTTGGTGAGGTGAGGAATTCAGTTTTGAATAAGGCTGAGTTTGTTCAATACTGATTTTGCAGGCTGACCAATGACACCTTAAGACTCTATTTCTTGCATTGTAATATTTATCCTGATTTTGATATGATGTGTTGTGTAAATGTGTTTAACACTTGAGTATATTTTTTTTCTTTTTTTACTCATAAGCATCATCTAAAACCAAATTTTAATTTTTGTGTTGTATATTTAAGGTGTTTATTCCTCTATTTTAAAAATGGATTCACAATTATTTTTCAATGAACACTTTTAATTATTTTAATCTTTTCTCACATTTCTCTTTCCTAAATTTAATGTGAATATCACTTTTATTAGAAAAGACTGATGTTACACGTTCTCTGTTTTTTGTTTTTCTGCAAATTTTCTCTGAAATATCTCTGGTTGAAGAGGAGAAGGACAGAAACTGTTTTGGAAGCCACAAGGCAAAATTGACTCAGATTCTCATGCTTAAAAAGATGTGTGAAACTTTCCATTATATGGCTCAGTTTCTGTACATGTGAAAGGATAACAAGGTATTGATTTGTGTAGCAGTACAGTAACACTTCAGGTCTGAATACAAGGAGCAACCACTTCTTAATTGTGCAGGTGTGAACTTCATGATGTTGCCTTACTTTCTCCTTACACAAAGATTTAGATAATGGCTGGACTCCGTAATTCCTTCCATCTGACTTCCATAAATGTGTACATGACATGTCTTTGTACAGATCACCTGTTCTGTTAGATATCAATTATTTTCTTATTTTTGATGAGTGATTAGTAAATTTGGTTTTAGTTCTCAGAGATAGAAAAAATACCACTTAGAAAATGTGTACATTGAGTGTTGTAATCAGAAAATATCTTTGTGCCATTGGCTTGTAATAAGGGAATTTCAATTTTTTATTTATTGTCATTTTCATCTACCTTAATATTCTCAAAAGGCTTTCATGCTTGTGCTCTTTTTAGATTTTAATTTTTGTTGTCTTAGTCAAAAAACATGCGAGGGTTGGGAACACTTGCTCAAGATATGTGACATGAGCAGTAAACAGAGCAAAAACACTGATATTGTATGGGAATATGTAATAATAGATGGGCATTTGCTCTGCTAGGTGTGGCAGCAGTCACGGTCTGTGAGCTTCAGTGCTGTAAGCAGAATTGACAGATCCTGCT